TCAATCCCTGTAAACAAATATAAAAGTAGCGGGGGGGTTGGCGGGGGCGGCAGCCCCCCCACGATGTTGTTTGCAGAAGTGATGATTTGAATAGGGGTGCAATTAAATCTCTGCAAAAAGTCTAAAAAGTAGCGGGGGGGTTGGGGGGGGCGGCAGCCCCCCCCCATGATGTTCGAAGAATTGATGATTCAACTAGGCGTGCAATTAATTAAATCTCTGTCGAAAATCTAAACGTAGCGGGGGGGGGGGTTGGGGGGGGGCGGCAGCCCCCCCATGATGTCGGAAGAAGTGGTGATTCAAGTAGGGGTGCAATGATTCAAGAAAGGGTGTGATAGAATTTACAAGGCAGCGGGAGGGTTGGCGGGGGTGGCTTCCCCTATGATGTTCGAAGAAATGCATACATACAGACATACACGGACTACACAGATTACCTAAAATGTCGTATTTTGCAGCATTTTCTCGCGAAATTGGATGCTCGAAAAAGTGATGATTCAAACAGGGGTGCAATTCAATCTCTGCCGGGCCAGTAAAGTGTCGTATTTTACAGCATGTTCTCGCGAAATATACCCCGCATGTCCCACCAACATCCCTAGCATCACCCACAAATCGTGTGACGGGGTCAAAGAAATGATGATTCAAGTAGGAGGGCATGTCAATCCCTGTAAAAAAATATAAAAGTAGCGGGGGGGTTGGGGGGGGCGGCAGCCCCCCCCACGATGTTGTTTGCAGAAGTGATGATTTGAATATACACGGACTACACAGATTACCTAAAATGTCGTATTTTGCAGCATTTTCTCGCGAAATTGGATGCTCGAAAAAGTGATGATTCAAACAGGGGTGCAATTCAATCTCTGCCGGGCCAGTAAAGTGTCGTATTTTACAGCATGTTCTCGCGAAATATACCCCGCATGTCCCACCAACATCCCTAGCATCACCCACAAATCGTGTGACGGGGTCAAAGAAATGATGATTCAAGCAGGAGGGCATGTCAATCCCTGTAAACAAATATAAAAGTAGCGGGGGGGTTGGCGGGGGCGGCAGCCCCCCCACGATGTTGTTTGCAGAAGTGATGATTTGAATAGGGGTGCAATTAAATCTCTGCAAAAAGTCTAAAAAGTAGCGGGGGGGTTGGGGGGGGGCGGCAGCCCCCCCCCATGATGTTCGAAGAATTGATGATTCAACTAGGGGTGCAATTAATTAAATCTCTGTCGAAAATCTAAACGTAGCGGGGGGGGGGGTTGGGGGGGGGCGGCAGCCCCCCCATGAGGTCGGAAGAAGTGGTGATTCAAGTAGGGGTGCAATGATTCAAGAAAGGGTGTGATAGAATTTACAAGGCAGCGGGAGGGTTGGCGGGGGTGGCTTCCCCTATGATGTTCGAAGAAATGCATACATACAGACATACACGGACTACACAGATTACCTAAAATGTCGTATTTTGCAGCATTTTCTCGCGAAATTGGATGCTCGAAAAAGTGATGATTCAAACAGGGGTGCAATTCAATCTCTGCCGGGCCAGTAAAGTGTCGTATTTTACAGCATGTTCTCGCGAAATATACCCCGCATGTCCCACCAACATCCCTAGCATCACCCACAAATCGTGTGACGGGGTCAAAGAAATGATGATTCAAGTAGGAGGGCATGTCAATCCCTGTAAAAAAATATAAAAAGTAGCGGGGGGGTTGGGGGGGGCGGCAGCCCCCCCCACGATGTTGTTTGCAGAAGTGATGATTTGAATAGGGGTGCAATTAAATCTCTGCAAAAAGTCTAAAAAGTAGCGGGGGGGTTGGGGGGGGCGGCAGCCCCCCCCATGATGGTTGAAGAATTGATGATTCAACTAGGGGTGCAACCCCCCCATGATGTTCGAAGAATTGATGATTCAACTAGGGGTGCAACTAATTAAATCTCTGCAGAAAATCTAAAACGTAGCGGGGGGGTTGGGGGGGGCGGCAGCCCCCCCCATGATGTCGGAAAAACGCCACCTGCCGAAGAGGAACTGGGAATGCAAAGGATGCGAAAAGCCAAAAAGCCACCAAAAGCCGCATAAACCAGCAAAAAGCCGAAAAGCCTAGAAGCCCAGAAGCCGAGAAGCCAAGAAGCCGAAAAGCCAAGAAGCCAAGAAGCCAAGAAGCCAAGAAGCCAAGAAGCCAAGAAGCCAAGAAGCCAAGAAGCCCAGAAGCCGAGAAGCCGAGAAGCCAAGAAGCCAAGAAGCCGAAAAGCCAAGAAGCCAAGAAGCCAAGAAGCCAGGAAGCCGAGAAGCCAAGAAGCCAAGAAGCCCAGAAGCCGAGAAGCCGAGAAGCCAAGAAGCCAAGAAGCCGAAAAGCCAAGAAGCCAAGAAGCCAAGAAGCCAAGAAGCCAGGAAGCCGAGAAGCCAAGAAGCCAAGAAGCCAAGAAGCCAAGAAGCCAAGAAGCCAAGAAGCCCAGAAGCCGAGAAGCCCAGAAGCCGAGAAGCCAAGAAGCCGAAAAGCCAAGAAGCCAAGAAGCCAAGAAGCCAAGAAGCCAAGAAGCCAAGAAGCCAAGAAGCCCAGAAGCCGAGAAGCCGAGAAGCCAAGAAGCCAAGAAGCCGAAAAGCCAAGAAGCCAAGAAGCCAAGAAGCCAGGAAGCCGAGAAGCCAAGAAGCCAAGAAGCCAAGAAGCCAAGAAGCCAAGAAGCCAAAAGCGAAAAAAAATTCCCAAAAACAAACGAAAAAAATTCCTAAAATAAATACCCCTCCATATTCTATCCGGAAGTATTCACGGTTTTCATTTTCATGAACTTCGACAATATTTCCGACGCATTGCGCTGTTCCTAAATGATGAGCACAAGTTCGACCTCGTGAATGGCCATACATTAACCGCAACCGACAAGGCGCCGGTCGAGAAGATGATCATGCACGTCGACATAGTGACCCGGACAAGGGAATGAAAGAACACTTGATCAATCCTGGGTCATGAAAGGTCGCCGAGATACGGCAAGGACATGCAAGAGATCAGCAACAGAAAAACCAATCTACTGGAACATTTCAGCATTTTGCAACCATGCTCGCAAAGAAGAACGAGAAAGAGAAAAAGAAAACAAGAGAGCCGATGAGACATGGGCTCCAGAACCAGCAAATCCTCCACGGAAGGCTCACTTGAACCTGACGCCGGCATCCTCTTGAAAGGGTGCTGAGAAGGAGTCCTATATAGACGGGCCTCCTTGCAACTGGGGCGATCCTTGGAAGTCGTGGTGCTGGAACAACTGGGGCCGCGGCTGGGGCGGCTACAATAAACAGCAATATTGGAACCAGAAGACAAATATTCTGTGTTCACAGGGCTACTCCCTCTCCATACAGAAGGAGCTCCAACGACGTGAATAGTATAGATTACAACTACTTCGATTGGAAGAAGATGCCCAGGAACTCCATGAAGCCGCAACAGAGCTCATGGACAAGTTGACGGAATCAGGATTCAAATCTGACAAGACTGATTCCCTCTTCTACAATGAGAAGCACAAAACTCATCTATTTTGTGAACAACAACCGGAATGTGGTTATCCGGTCAGAATTCCAAGTCGAGTCAAGGGGCTCACATCACATGATCCTCCGAGGAAGAGAAAGGCTTATCTGGAGATCCACAAGGACGAAGAAGACCAGAACCAACGATCAGATGCAACAGACTCAGACCAGCACACCACTGCTGAATATCCCACCTTCAACCTTGGGAACATAGGTCATACCTGTACTTAGCAGTGGCTTCTCGACTCTTGTCTGGCTTAGCCAACTGGAAAAAATGGAAAGTAGACAGGCCTGGCCAAGTCAGGGCTCCGTAGGCTAGGGATTTCGAACCCGTTCCGGCCATTTGCCTCAGAAGTGGTTTTTCGGCCCGCACCTGCCTTGAAACAGTCGTTCAAGGCCCCAGGAAGCTCAAGGCGGGCGTGCGCCACTTTTCTTGCGGGGTTCGAGCTCGTGGGTTTTTTTTTGCGGGGGCAGGGGGGGAAGGGAGCGGGGGGTGTGAGCTCGAGTTCGAGCCGAGTTGAGTTGGAGTTGGAGTGCGAGGTTCGAGTTCGGGCAGGGGGAAGAAAAAACAGAGCGCGCGCCCGGACACAAATTTGAACTTGAACTCTTCCCCCCTTCCACGAAAACTAGCGCGCGCTTTGCACTTGTTTTGTCTCCCTGATCTCCGAAAAGCAACGATAGCCGCCCCCAACCAGATTTTTTGAGGGCGGGGCTGAGTTCCGTTCGAGTTCGAGCGCGAGCTACAATGTGTTTCCGGGAGGAGTTTTAAGATCAAGCTCCAGTTCGCGTTCAGGCGGGCGCTACATTTTTCCGGGCGGGGGAGGGGGGGTTCGAGTCCGAGTTTAAGTTCGAGTTCCGGCGCTACATTGTTGGAATTCAAGTTCAAGCTCGGGCGTGCGCCACTTTTTTTTCAAAAGGGGGAGGGGTGTTGTTCGAGCTTGGGCAGGCTACATATGTTGTTGTTTTTTGGGGGGAACTCAACTGCGAGTTTGGGCACGCTACAAAGTTCCGGCGCAACATTGCCGGATTTTAATTTCAAGGTCGGGAGTGCGCCACTTTTTTTCCGGGGTTCGAGTTCGAGTTCGGGCGCGGTACATTTCTTTGCAGGGGGGGGGGGGGTCGAGTTCGAGTTCGCGTTCGGATTCGAGTTCGAGTTCGGGCACGCTACATTTCTCTTAGGGGGAGTGTGAGTTCGAGGCCGAGTCGAGTTGGAGTTGGAATTGGAGTTCGAGATCGGGTTCGAGGTCGGGCGCGCTACTTTCTTTTTTCGTTCGGGGGGGGGGGGGGGCGAGTTCGAGTTCGAGTTCGAGTTCGGGCGGGGCACGTAATGCCGTCGTGATGATACAGTATCAGTTCTGCGGTTCGACGTGCTACAGAAGAAACGTCTCATTCACCCAACACATCTGGAACCTCGAGTGGCAGCCTCCGAGGGGAAAAAGGGAAAGCGTGGAGCCGTCTTTCAGCGAAAACCGCCAGAGAATGGTCCGAACCAGGGCTTTCAGGTACCCAAAACCCAAAAGGCGCACGCCTTGGCGAGATGCTCCTGCTTCACCGCGGCCCGGAACCTGGCTGACGTGGCCCAAGCTGGGGTTGAGTCGCCTTGCCCAAAAAAGATGCAAACAGCACGGAGGTGCTTTTTCTAAGGGACACCGAGAGGGAATCATTCATTTCGAGAATTTGTTTATGTCGAGAGAAAAACATATAAATGAGTTACAAGAAAGTTGCAAACCAGGTAGCCCCAGAGAAGGTTGGCACAGCCTTCTAACGATTCAGAGACTGCCAAACGCCCCGTGCACATCACTACCACAAACGAGAAAGTTGATTCCATGCAGGCGCAGAATGCATTAGCTTGGAGCCTACGGGTCCTCAACTCAGCCAGTCAGCCCCTCAACCACTCAACCTCTCGCCCACTCAGCCACTCAACCGCTGCCCACAAGAGGCCAGAGAGGTATATTTGGGCAGATCTGAGTAGCCCAAATCCTGCTAAAAAGAGATCCAGGCGCAACACTTGCGGGAGCGCTTTTGGGCCTGTGACAAGATCCGCAAAACGCTATATGAGCCGCCGCCAAGTCCTGTGATGCCAAACTGAAATATGTGTGAATCCTGCGCTGTAAAGAGACGCCTTCGTTTCTGGGGGGTTTTGGTCATATAACGATCCTTTGTTTTGGTGTTGTTTTGCCCATCCCTTATACGAAGCTTGTTTGTGGTAGCTCAAGTCCTCCTAAGACCTGAACTGATGCCCGCATGCAAATTCATTCTGTGGCGAAGCCTATCTCAGCTCCACTCAACACAATAAATCAGGTAGAAGGATGTATGGGGTCTGAGGCAAACAGCTAAGTAGACTCACACCCCCCACATCACTTGCAACCAAATGATCCACTTGCCATCGCCAATTTCGGTGGGGTGTTCGGAGGAGTTGGCTTGGCACTGAAGGGCAACCAGGGAAAGTCAACAAAAGGAACTTGGGGCCGTCTGGGCCTTATAGACGGGTTGCTCAAGAGACTTAACGACAACCGTCATTTTACTTGCTTGAGCATCATATCACACCCAAGTACCCTCCCACCAACCAACATGGAAGTGCACAAACCCCCTTTCCAAGAGGAAAGCAGTCTCTATATGAGTCTGTGCACTTCCATGTTAGTCGGTGGGAGGGTAGTTGTGTGTTTTGTTGACCATGGCGCAGTTCTCAAAACCTGCGTGGCGTGGCTGATGCAGAAGCTGCGTGAAGTTCTCGTGGCCTCGCAAGCTGCGTAGGATCTGTCCGAAGTCGATAGGTTGGCCATGGGCATCGGTGACACTGAAAAACGGTGTCCTCCCAAAACCACTGGAACGAAAACCCCTCCTCCTCCATCCCTGTTGATATGTTCCGGAGAGGGTTTGATGTGAGCCATTTGGCAAATCTTCGGCGCGGCTCCTTCCAGTAACATTTGATGATGGGATGTACAGGCATTTGTCTCACTGCCACGTTCTTGACTGACCGTGGGTCATGGAGGTTGTGGTGGGTGGATTTGGGCGCGGGAGGGATAAACACAATTTCCCAAGAAAAAGAATGCAAGCTCTAGCCATTGTCTTTCAACCCCATTGGTTGCGGTTGCAAACACAGGCTCCTCATCATCATCATCATCGTCATCATCGTCGTCGTCATCGTCATCGCCATCGCCGTCGTCGTCGTCGTCGTCGTCGTCGTCCTCCTCCTCCTCCTCCTCCTCCTCCTCCTCCTCATCATCATCATCATCATCATCATCATCATCATCATCATCATCCATCATCATCATCATCATCATCCATCATCATCATCATCATCATCATCATCATCATCATCATCATCATCATCATCATCATCATCCTCATCCTCATCCTCATCCTCATCCTCATCATCATCATCATCATCATCATCATCATCATCATCATCATCATCATCATCATCATCATCATCATCATTGTGCATCGATGAAGGCTTGTGGTAATTTGCAAGTTTCACAAGTTGCCTTTGCAAGATTTGTATGTGTCAAAATTGGACATGCAAAAAGCTTCATACGAATTGCCTGTTCACCCATCTCTCCATTTTTCACGGGTGTGATGAATGCATGCAGCTGTCACAGTCTCCTGCAGCCTTCATGGTGCCATAAATCAAAATGCACCAACCATGGTGGCAAATCGGCAAAGAATGCCACTAAAACTCTGATCTGAATCTTGGTGACTGGTGAATGGGGGCAGGGTCCAAGCCAATCCATCGAAGACCACTTCCCCCCAAACACTTCCGACAAGCTTTTCGCACCATTGCACGAGTGCGGCTGCGTGTCAAAATCGAGGACCCCCTTGGTGTTCAAAGGAAACCAACATGAAACGAAAGAAACCAAACATTTGAAGCCCCACTTAGGGGGTGGCCTTGGATGGTTTGAAAGGCAAGCAACATGAAATCAGCCTACAGCCTGGTTTTTGGCCGCACAGCACGTGGCTTTTCTGCGTCCCTCGTGAGCTCCGGCCAGCGGCCCGCCTTCGTTGATCTTCTCCAGAAGCTCCTTCCACCTACGCCGCCAGACTCGCGAAAGCGCCAGCCACGCCTTGCCTAACCCATGATTCAGCTTGGAGTTGCCAGGGGTAGCGGTATGAACCTCATACATTTCCATGGACCTCAAGAACATGCAAACAAAAGGGTGCATGTATCTTGTCAGTCAAAGACCTGAGACAGGCATCGTCCGAGCTCCTCCAAACCCTGGCGCTGGTTCAATACCGAAGTAACCCTCTGATCGCGGCACAACTGAACTGTGGGCATGTGTCTAAAATAGGGATTTGGACACCAAACATGGATTTTTTTTCGGTTTTCCGGTTGGTTCCCTGTGAAGCAACCTAAACAAAGGGGCACCCTCGAGAAATTCGCACGAATATGCGTGCCTCCGGCTCTTCATGATCACCTTCTGCGCCCGGGTCTCCAAGATGTCGACCTCACCCCGCTGAAGGCACACCATCTGTGGTCTTCCCAAGCGGATTCAGGAATGATATGTGGAGCTTCAGTGACTGGAGATTTCGACACACAGATATGCTGATATTGACTGTGTCCTGATTGTTAAATCCTGGAACCCCCCCCTTAGACCCTTTGGAAACATGAGGCATCATGAGGATCCCAATCATGGGCAAGGGGAATGGCCGTGTGTCTGGCGCAATTTGGACAACCCGTTGCTTTGTTTATGTCTTCTGTTGCCAGTTGTTTGAGTGAAGCGGGGCAAATAGACGGGTCGTGAGGTTGGCAAAGCATTGGTCCCTGAATTAAGATGCCAAGTGCTTCGTGGAGTCTGCAAGTAACCACCCAGAAGACACCCCACTGGTTCCAAGATCCAAATTGCCCACACGTCACTGGCTTGAAGGCATGTTGAATTTGCAAATGACCCGCTAATGAAGGCCTTGCATCCATACAATCCTCGTCCCTTCAAGCGCCCAGTAAGAAAGCATATCTAACTGACTAGTTGTTCTCTGAAGCGAAGTGCATTGCTCCCCAATCAAAAGGCAACGTGCAGTATCTCGACGGCCGAGACCGTAATGGAAGGATACTCCTTGTCCTAAGTGCTCACGAGACAAGAATGCGTCATGTGCGCAACTCTTCCCGACAACCGGCTTCCTGGAAGAAGGTCTTCAAACAACTTCCTCGCCAAAAAGGAAGCCTCTGAAGCCAGCGCCCTGAAGAGCGCAACAAACTGTGGCAAGTGCCCAGGGACATCCATTTGACCCGCACAGGGTACCAAAACTCGCCAAAAGGATCAAATCCCAGCATAAAACAGCCCACAGGTGCCAAGAGACATCCATATTTTCAGGGTCGAAAGTAGGGCGACCTCCGGCCAAACCCCTGCCCCATCTCCCCCCATCTCCCCCGATCTCTCCCCCCCCCGCGCCCATGGCTCCGGGCCATGGCCGGGAACTTGGCGAGCTCCCGCAGGTCCGACTCCTCGGCTCACGGAGACGCCATGAAGGATGGCACCCCGAGGACCGCGAAGCAAGCAAGCGTTCTAAGCGTTCTCTGTTCTTGGCCGTTCGTTCTCCTTTGGTTGAGGCGAGAATGTGGGCGTCTGTCGAAGCCTTCCCGCGTTGGCTTTGCCAAGCCCACTTCAAGCCCAAGCAGTCCCTAGTTTTGGCACGCTGTAGGACACCCCTCTGTGTCAACAGTCATGCACACGGAACGCAAAGGTTCAATTGTATTTGAAGGACTGCCTGGCTTTCGGGATTGCGCCACCCACTTGCTGGAAAATGCCTCGTTTCGGGTTGGCCCAAACGCAAACAGCAGCTAGGGCCATCCCTTCCCTCCGATGGATATGGACAGCGGCATTCTGTTGGTAATCAACTCATGTGCACAAATGTATTGCTATAATTCACAAACAGGAAGCAGTATCATTTGGCAAATTCATGTTGGAGTGTAGCCTGCACAAATTGTAGGATGATTAGGGAACCTTCATGATGGATGGGCCCGGAAATCGCTCGTTTTGTCCCCTCGCGCAACAGCCGTCAGTGGAGTGTGCAGGTTGCGAAGTCAGCTTTCTCAGGGACAACAAGAGAAATGAACAAGCTTGTCGGGTGAGCTTCAAACCCAGGTGGGTTGACATCTTCACAGCCTGATGTGAAGTGTTCCTCATTGGAACATTGGACTCTGAGTTGGCTGTGCATCACTGGTTGCAGATATGGCGTCAGTCAAAAGCCAAATCCGTCCAAACCCAGAAGGCAAGCATTCCGGAGGCAATGCGAATGATTTGCACTGGAAACCCGGGAAAACATGGCCCAAACTTTGCCATGAGCGCACCTGCGGTTGTGGGTCGATCCCTTGCCCAAAAGAAAATCTCCGCCATCTTGGCTCAACCCCGCCTGCTTGGACCGGAACTTGCTGTACCTGCCGATGCACAAGGAACCGCTCCAATCCACCCCTTCAAATGCTTGGCTGCACGGGTTTTGTGCGCTTTCTGTTTTGAATGGTCCCAAAAGGACTAAGCAACTTCTGACCCCGTGTGCTGAATAAGGACAATCAAAGGCTCTCCTCACGCTTGAAAAATGTCCCTGGGGGGGGGGGCTTTTGAAAGATCCTGGTAAACCGGTTCTCCTCCACCACGCCGAAAGACGGCACCAACATGTCACCTTGTCAGCGTTCAAAAAAGGGCGCCCATTTCTGGCAATCTGACACTACCCCCTGCTAACTCAAAGCCAGGGGTACGCACCCCAGCCAAAGACTCTCGCTGTCGCCTGTGGACCCCTGGGGATGCACAAAAACGCACAGGGAAGGGGGAAGAAATGGTCCTCCGGTTGGGTTATGGCATCTTAAGTTAGGTTTTGCCCCTGACACGCGGGAACTTCCTCTAGTTTCTCTTTCAAAATCTGTTTGATGTTCATTGCCCAGGAAAATTCCAAACGTGAAGACCAAAAACTCGAGCTCTCCAAAATGGTCTCCCCAAGCTGGGCTCACCCGAAGCGCTTGGTGAGGCTCAGATCCACCTCGTCCTGAACCGCGCGGGGTGGAAACGGATCTGAACACGGGACTTGGATGCAAACGGCAGGTACGTGCCGATGCACGCAACCCATGAGAGTGTGATGCTTCTCTCACAGGGGCACGACAGCAAAAGAATGTGAGGCTATTCCACCAAACCTTCAGGCTTCGGAAAGAACACCGAAAGCACAGGAAGTTTCTTACTGGCTGCATGGGATGCCCTCTGAATTGCCACAAGCAACATCACTTAGTCCACCCAAACGGATGAGACCCCGTGTTGGAAATCAGGCACCCCAATGTCCAAGCCACACACCAAGAGCTGGCTTTCACACGGCGCATCTTTTGCCTTGCAACAACAGATTAATGGGAACCTCAGATAAGCAAACCCTTGGTTGACTAAAAAAAAGGGGGTGTCCCCCTTTTTGTGGGCGGTTCATCACTTTTTGAAGAAAAAAAAACACCCCAAATTCACAGAACGGGGGAATCTGGGCTCAGCATCAGCTTCGCTTGACACAAAAAACGTGCGGCTCTCGTCGGGTCTCCTGAGCCGGCCGTATCGGCGCCTGGGGTCCAAGGCGGAGGCGAGTCGCGGGTGGCTACTCTGAGACATGGCGGTGGGTCAAAAATAGGGTAACCCCAGAATGGCTTGCCCTGGGAAATGGAAATGACTAAAACCTGTGGTCCAATTCCTGGTGGTTTAGTTTTGAGAATACCCACATCCTACTGGTGGATTTTGACAGGGGACCACAGCCAAAACCCCAACTTGGAGCAGCCCTCGAACTCTTCACTTCGAGGGATTATTTACTGGATGATATGTAGAAGGGATTAAAAGGGAGCAGTGGCCTCCCGTGCGCAAACCACCGGCGCGAAGTGAAACTCGGCAGAGATCCCAAGGAACCTCGCTGGTCCTGCAACAACCGAAGAAAAAGGGTGAGAGGCCTTCGAAAAGGGAGATTTCGAGAGAACCCCCGTAGAAAGCCAGAAATGCTTGTAGGGAGATTTAGCAGCACATTTGCGGCGGCCTCCAAAAACATCTGGTCCGGACATCTGGCAAAGGCTTGTAAAAAGGAGCTTGGGCGTAGATTTTGCGCTTGTTGCCAACGCAGAAATCCGGGCGACCAGCACAGCAGCGGATCACAACTGAGAAGGGTGGGAGGGCTCACGAAAGCGGCACAGCCGCTTGTCAATTACCACCAAGCAATGCTGAAGGCTGCCGGCGCGCAGCAATGTCTGCGGCCAGCTCTGGCAGACTGCCCCGCCCCAGCGCGAGCCCGACAACATAAAGCACGCAAACGGAGCGACACCAAGACGCACTGCAAAGCAAAACCTCCTTTCTTCCACGGACCAGACAAGAGGTGGTTGCCACTACAACGCCTCTTGCGGACAAATTCGCAGTTTGCCACACTGAAGTTTCCACCCAAGAGCGGATCAATCGCCCCCCTACCACCCAGCAATACTGACAGCTGGCCGCCCGCGCACAGGAATGTCTGCGGGTGCCAGCGGACTGCCCTGCCCAACCGCAAGCCCCGCAAGCCCGGCATGGGCTCATCGCGCGTTTCAACCCAGCAGTTCGCTTGGCCTAGATTAGGCGGACATAGTATCATGATTCAACGGTCGAACCTTGCCAAAGAAACGCGGCAGCGTAAACTTCCAAGACCCATGTTTGGGTACAAACAGAAATCGTGTTATCCCAGCTTTGCTGCTGTTTCTTAGTCCGGGGTTCACATGAAAACCAAAGCAAACATAAACGAGCTGCCCAATCTCCAATGACAACAGAGGCACAAGCCGGCGTCTTCATGCGGGTTGTCGAAGCCATCTTGGACCCTGGCGCCCTAGTTTTGACACCCATGAGAGGGCTTCAGTGGTATCACACAGAGAGCCCTAAAACCTCGGAAGCACAAGAGGGGCAACAGCTGAAGCTCCCCCGGCCGTGCGCCTCTGATTCCGCTGCCAGCCCAGCGCTGGTTTCCAGCTCTGTGGCGTTGGTGGTGTTCGCTGCCTGCAGCTCCTGACAAGGGTCGATGTCCCCCCAACTGATTTGTTGATCCAATCTTTCCGGAGACTCCTTTGTTGCTGGGATCGATTTCTTCGGAGTCTGCCTCGAGGGATCTAACTCCTATGTTGTTTTTGAACACCTGTTGTTGAAACACCTACACACTTAGAGTGATCGTGAATCGTCAGGATCCCAAATGTATGTCTCCAGCTCGGGCCCAGTTTCAAGTGCAGATGTTTCAAGGTTGGACACACATACACAGATATATATATATATATATACATACATATATATACATACATATATGCATACACATATTTTATGGACCCCTGACTCACTACTCCCCCCCTTGTCAATAAGTGCCGCCCCTTTTTGGTGCTGATTCCTTTTCAGGATAACTCCAATGATTGCTAACGGGGGGGGTCAACATTCAGGGGACAACATTATATGGCAGGATGTACTGGTGATGTGCACAAAAGCCCGAAGTGTGCCATGGTCAAACCTTTCTCTACCATGAGGCAGCTTCCCTACAAAACCGGTCTTTTGACCACACATTTTGGATATATAGAAGGCATGCACCTGGCTTGGAGTGGGGACAGTCAACAAACCCGAAGGGTGATAAAATAAACCTCATCTGGGTCTTGTATTAAAGGGTCTGGCTACAGGACGATCCCCAATTGAAAACCTAACTTCGTAAAGGCCTCCGTTCTAGATGGTGTCTGGATGGACAACAATACGCCCACGGGCAGCTTGAGGAAACATCCATACACACAGTGAAAGAACCAGGGCTGTGGTGATGGCTTTGAACCCTCCGAACGATTTCAAAAGCTTCCTCTGCTCATTCGCTTGAGATCTCTGACTCTAGGAAAATCCGTCTGCCAACATGAGTCAGAGTGTGAGCAAGCAGCCACTTTGCCTACACAAAAAACAAAGCACATCCACCTGTTTGCGCTTCACTGGGCAGAGTGCTGAGTGGATGTTCACACAAAATGGGAGGAGAACACAACCGGGTGCCCCCATTTCTGCCGCCTAGTATGCTTCAATGCGTGTTGCCAGCCACTTGACGGATGAGGGACAGGAGCTTCAAGCTTCCCGCGTCAAGGGAGCAATTAGCTTCTGACCACGGCCATCGAAACTCAGAATGATTAGGATGCCGTGGGGTCGGGCAGCCGTGTCTAACATGTGAATGATCTGCTTGAAGAGCGTTCCACAACCGGATATTTAAGTACAGGGCCGCAACTGATATTCCATTGAAAACGCAAACATCATTTCCCTTCAAGGGCTCCCTTCGTGTTTAGTTGCCCGTCCCGCGGGAGGCGCCTGCAGAGCCTCTAAGATCTGATCAAGGGTCGCTTCGTCCTCGCTCGCCTTCGAGGACCAAATGGAAACGATGGAAACACCTGAGCAAAAGATCTCTCAAGTCTCATCGCAAGCTTGGCAAGTCTAGGCATGGCATTTGCCTCCGTTCGGGCTATACTGACATGTAGGTAACCAGTCTTCGACATCGCGTTTGCGGGATCTCGCAATGGGAACGCCCCGTTGAACCAGAGGCGCGATCCGAGCTGAGCACACGAAACCAAAGGCTTGACAAGTGGGAGAACCATTCTAAACGAGAAGGTTTACCAGCAACCGCCCACCTGAACCGCAAAGAGGTAGAAATCATGTGCTAGAGTCCAAGCAGGTCTTTGAGCCTTGCAATATCAACCGCTTTCCGTGGACAACAAACCGTCAAACGGTCGCGAGTCCACCTGACTTTAACCTAGGGGAAGATCAGAAACAAAGAAACTGCTGGCAAACTGTATCTGGGATTCCAAAATAGAAATCGTATGGACTGCCGCCGTCTGCACGAGACTAGGTAGATCATGGTAGCATCTTCCGCCAACAAAGAACGTGTATTGAGTGTACCTCTTTTGGGCACACCAAACGGAAGCCACCCATTCTGCGGCCCCCATTTTACAAAAAACTACAAGGTTATTGTTCGAAGAGATTGCCACTTTAACAGGCACCTACGGCAAGCCTTGCGGCCCTGTTGACTTAAAGTCACCAGAGCTCTTTGGATTGCAGAATGCAGCGAGTCAAGCTGTGCTTCACATATGCATCCCTTCAACAAATCGGGCATCTACAAAAGTTCCGGCATCTACAAAAGTTCCTGGTATTGGAGCGGATCGTAGGCGCAAAGTCTGAGTCAACTTCCCTCTTGGCCCAAAGATGGTCTCCACTTGGGGCGGCTTTTGCCGGAGAGCTCTGTGGGTTGAAAATAGTACGAAGAGTTAACATGGGAGCAGTAAGCGGATTGAGAGAAGGCAAAGGACACCGGAGCCCGAATGGAGCAACCTTCCCGGGCCGCGTGCCGCGCGCCTCGTCCAAGTCCAACCGACCTCGGGGATCCGGATCCCAGCACAAGCGCGAGAGGGGAAGTTGGCGGTTCGGTGGGTTGCTCTTCCCCGAAACCCGCTGAAAGACAATGGGCTGTACAAGAGCTAATGCCATGTATTTACCCACTTTGCCGGCGGGGGATATCTGGACAGGCCCAGCATTCGGCTTGCTCCAGGGAAAAGGCGGCCGAGACAACGGCTCGCAAAGGCTTAAAATGGATCTGTGCAGGGCCCCTGTCTCCGTCGGAAGATCGGCCAGGCGTAAGTGGTGAGGGGACGGCCACACAACGAAGGACCGCGGACCTTGAGAGACAACTTGTGGAGGTCTTTCAACTTTTTCAACATCCAGGACACCAGAACACCCAACCAGAACACCCCCCAAACCTTGGTGCTGGGGACCCCCAGCTCTGAGGCCCGGGCCGCTTTCGAAGGTGTTCCGCTCAGCCAAGGCCTGAGGCTCGGGCTGCGTCCGTTTGAGTGGGAAGCCTTGCACTTGCCACCGCTCACCTTCCTACGACTGGAAACCCAACTTGCCTTTGGATGAGGGTAAGAGCACTGGGAGAGACTTGCACATGTGGACCATTCATGTGCTGGAGATGATTTGGACGCCAAATGGGAATTGCCTGGGCTCCCCATTTCAGCAACAGGCAAGGGAACCGGTTGCACAGGCGCCCCTCACCTATCTTACACCTGACTCAGAAAGAACTGCGTGAGACGTCGTTTGAAGAACGGTCGACTTTGAGCCATTGGCAAACACTTTCCACGGGCCTTTGGGCGGCCATTGTTTAGCAAAAGTCGATGCGTGCTACCAATGTTCCAGTCACTGGACATGCTTTCCCCAGGCTTGGGGAGTCACCCTGATGAGAAAGCCCCCATAAGACTGAGGCTGAACGCATTGCACCACTGCGCCGCGTCACTCCACCCCCCCCTCCCCCTCCATTGCGTCCATTTTGTTCCCCATGCAATGCAGCCTCTTCTGCAGTCATCTACGCCCATTCGACTTGGCAATTGTTTCACAACCCTTGCCATAACGTCGCGATTCTGATTCCGAGAACCTGGCAAAGCTTAAAGCTAAGCCCGCGAAAAGAGGCTTGGCACGACAGGCTGCGGCGAAGGTGGTTGCTTCCTGACTTCCCAAAATCCCGGCCAATTGTGCGGCATAGACTGATGAGGTCGCCTCAAACCAATTGCAAGCAGCTCCCTTGAAAAAATGGACAGTCATGGCAACAACTGGGAGGATTCAGAGTATGAGTCCCGAAACTTGGAATGCGCCAGCTCCAGGTTTGAGAGCGCTGCCATTGACCCTGTTCCTGTTTGTCAGAGTTGGTCACATCGTGTCTGCACAATGCTACACGTGTGGCCAGCCAAAGTTGGACACACGTGCGTGTTCTTTGCACCCATGCAGTGCTTGCAGAGCAACGATAATGTCATGCCACGTCTGACGCTTGTAAGACTTGCTTTACCATTCCGGATCCATATCGATGTTCCTCTGCAAATCGCTGTAAATTGGTGGGTGGAAGGGGAATAATACTGGATCCTTGGCCAGCTATGCCGTGCCAGCCAGCTTCTCTCGCAAACGAATTCAAACTTCCGGGCTGCCATTGGGTGGCTGCTCGGCTCCAAAGCAAAGACGAAAGCCCCAAGGGCCTCGTTGAAGATACGCCGGCCTGTGACCTTATGGCTCTGCTCATGTTTCATTCTGCGAGACATGGCAGATCAGAAACAGGCGCTTGGCGCTTGGCACGTTCTGCGGGCACACTTTGTCAATCTGGCACTTGTCGTGTTTCATCCAAAAAAACCTTGTTGTGATGAAACAAGGTTTCCAACGAGCGTCCTTTTCATATCCTTGATGGAAGCAAAGCCAAGAACTCAATGTCTAGGGTGATCAGTGATGTAGGCATGCAAATCAAGAATTACTCCATTGGGTTCGCCATCCCATCCATTCTTGCGCAAACTGGAATTTTCATGGTTCACTCAGGGATCTAGGGTTCAACTACCTGGAGTGCTTGTCAAATCCTCAAAGGAATTTGATCTCAGCCCGACAGATCTTTCTTAGGCAACGTTGTTTGCCTCGCTAACGTCGAAGGATTGGCAAAGGGAACAACCTAAAAGAGAACCTGCAAAGTTGCTTGTGGCCACCGTGAGGCATTCAAGTCGCAGAGGCTCACCCTTCAGAAACACCTGGGGGAACAGGCAAAGAAAGGCCAAGGCCATAGCTGTTCAAGGCAATGTGTGGGGTTTCCAGCATGCAGCCCTTACTTGTCTTTTCCCGGAAGAATCTTCTAGAGTGCGCCCTAGGCCATGAAACTGAACCCAAGTTCCAACATTGCAAGCAGTCCAAATGCTGGTGTGAATCCTGACTGGACAAGGCAACTCTCAACAGGCCTCGCTCCTGGAGGAAAGCTTGCAGCACCACTTCCCTCATCTAAAGCGATTGAAACTGACACATGGTCACATGCTCGATTGACGAAGCGATGCCATTTTGGTGACCACGTAAAGCCGCACAAAAACTATCAGATCTCCACTTTCCGGATTTCCAACTTTCCGGCGCCTTCTGCGCAAGTCGAACGATAGGTCTCCCGTTCGTCTAGCGCCCCGACACCCACGTCGTGGCCCGGGGAAAGCTGGCAGTTGGCAAGTCCGGACAAAAAGCTTGTTGGGTAGACGTGTCGCTGTTCAGCCTCGCCATGTCGGCAAAAAGGCCGAAAGTACAATGCAGCATGGCCACATGTTGACCTAGCTGTGGTCATCATGGCATAATACAAGTCCAAGCACGGAACACATGCACTTGAGAGCTGCTTCGGTCTGTGGCTGGTTCAAAGATGCAATTACTTTGCAAATACCTGGCTACTGGTGCCTAGTCTAGAAATGTTTGGGTGAAATGCCGGCTTGCTGCAAAGGGCGTATCAAAGAAACGTGTTCCTGCTGATTCTCTTGACCTTTCGCTCCGATAATATGCCTTTATCTATCTGTGGGCAAGCTCCATGCCAGATATTCGAAGTTTGTGTTTTTCTTCAAGCAAATGGTCCCCTCAACTTTTTGGGCAACTTCTCCGATTGTCCTACGTTCATGCACATTTGCCAACCTGAACAATCAGACTTGGACCCCGCTGGGAAAAGCAACTCTTGTCAGGTCAAGTGGAAAATGACCCTGAGGCAACAAGGCACAGAACGAGCCAAGTCCAGCAAACACCGAAGTTGATGTCTTCACTATTTCCTTGGGACTTCTCCTTAAGCCAGACTGGCAAACACTTGAGCCACCCCAGCATCCCATTGGCTTTCAAGCTTGGGCTCCCTGGTGCCTTGGTGCTCAGACCAAGTGAAACTGATGTGATGCGATTTGACATATCCTCACGTAATCTGTTTTTGTTCATTCATGGGGTGGGTTGGCCTGGCCGAAGTGTGTGTAGTGAGTTGGTGATGTGTCAGACTTGGGGATCGTTTTGGCTCTTTAACCGACCAACAAGCCATCCAGTAACCTGGATATCACTGCCAGAAACACCCATCCCGGGTACACGTTTTGGCGGAGAACTCCAGGAGGGTGTTGGCCACAAACCTTCGACGGCCCCGAGGTACACTTGGACTTTTGTGCCAAAGCTAGGCTCTGAAGAAGGGGGAAAAAGGGACGGTGTCAAAACGTGATCAACATGACACCGAATGCCCCCCAGTCTCTCTACTACATATATAGATATATACATATATATATATAATATTATTCATGGAGATCTCCAATAGCTGTTGGAAGCTCCGGGGTGGAAGAATCTCACTTCAGGGGAGGTAATTGCCCCAATGGGTAGATAATGTTCACCTCCACCAAATCCAGACTTATGTGAGTGGTTCCCCTAAAAGAGTATCTCCACCCAAATACGCAAAGCAGCTCTGCGATTTCCAAAGTGGGCATTCCACTAAAAGCTTCCATCGCCAACTGCCAGCCGTTGTAGCTCGTGGTATCGTGGTACCAGGGATGCTCCCGCGCAGGGGCTCAGCAATCAATCCACAGGATTCGGATTTCGCGTTGCCAACTTATCAACTGATTTCAAGGTCAAAGCGTGTCTTCCCCATGGCTGGGGCGGGACCCCCAACTCGACAAACCCCGTTTGGGTAAGGAGACATTAACAGAACATTGCCATTCGGCTCTGTCAAAATTGGCAAATTGGCACGGAACCCGTTGTCGTTGATTTTACCGGGCGCAAATATACGGACATGTTGGTTGTGAAAACACCTGAGGGAAAATGTGCACTTCTTACGTTTTGGAGGATTCCACATGAGGACAGGTGGGAAGCCGCCCAAAAAATGTTGGATCCACACATAGGTGGCTCTGTTACTTGCAATAGGTCCACTTCGAGTGGTAGATGATGTTATTTGGGACGCTGATGATGGTGTAGGCTTGCTTTTCTTTGACGTCAACAAGGACAGGCTAAACACGCGACTCATCATTTCGAACCCCCTGGTCGGTCGGTTTTCTTTTGCCTTCAAACCATCCAAAAAGGGATTTTCCATCTTGAAACATGCCTAAACTTGTATTTTGCATCATCCCAAATGAGGAACCAGGAAGCACAACCCAAGTGTGCAAGCGGTAGAAATCTCACACGTTTTTCTCCTTTGGCGATGTCCTTTGGGTTCTATGCACGCGAAAGCAGAGAGTAGTTGTACAAGCTTGCCCTCTTCCCAGATAAAATTCAAAACATCCACTTGGGTTCCTCACATTGACCTCATGGCGTCTCTTTCTGGCGTTCTTCTGCTTTCGAAACAATTCCATGCCTGGAGAACCAAAAGATCCCCAAATTTGTCAACGCAAACTGCGGGACTTGGCCTCAAACATCGGCAAGCCTACAACCAAAACCCGCCGTCAAGCACGGAGCATCCCTTTCAAAGTGCGCCAAAGCTCGGGGAGAACAGCCGGAAGGCGGTGTGGGACAGAAAAAGCAACCCACTTCCGATGTTTTACGCCAAAGTCGCTTCAACAAAAGCATTTTGCGAAAGCGTGTAGACCCAAACCTGTGCATTTTTGTAAGAGGCCCGGACAAAGGGTGGAATGACTCAAAGGTAGTGGAAATACCACTGAAATTATTGCGATACAAATGGTTTTTCAATGTTAACCGCTTAAAATCGGTAGACATCCTCAAGAGTGTGTCCAGATTCGCAGAAGTCTGTGCAAGCCCTTGGCAAAGGGCATCTCAAGTGCAGGAATATCCAACAGTCCCGTTGCTCGCAAAGTCCATGGAACCCCCGGCAAACATGCGGTATTTGCAATCTGGAGAGAATTCCATCAGCAGCTTCTCCCTTCGGCGCTTTCTGGGATCCATGGACCTTGCAGGTGGGCAATTTGGATCTTGCAGGTGGGCAGAATATCAATCAAAATGACTGCACAAGATCTAGGGATCAACATCTATGCATGCACAGCACGGGATCAACATCTATTGCTGCAAGCAAGCGTTACAAGGTGCTAAAG